TACCCTCTGCTTTATCAAACATGATTTTCTCCTCCAGTGACCTGTCCCTCCTGACAATATATACAAAGTATGAGAGACAAAGTCTGGTCATCCTGGCTTCCAAGGAACACTCTGGCTGTACTTTTTCAAACATAGATCTTTGTGTTCTTTGGGCAGTCCATTGTAACTTCAATATTCTTGACAAGCATCATAACTCAAATGCATCAGATCTTCTATGGTGTTCCTTATTTACTATAAAACATTCACATATATATGAGGTTATTGAAAATACCATGGCTTGGATCAGTGCACTCCTTAGTCCTCAAACTGAGATATTTGCTGTTCAACAATTTAAAGATGTCCTGTGCAGCAGATTTAACCAGTGAAATATGTCATTTGATATACTGACTGCTACTTCCATGAGTATTGATGGTTGATCCGAGCAAAATGAAGTCTTTGACAATTTTTATCATTTCACCCTTTATATGCATGATGTTTATTGGTGCAGTGGTGAGAATTTTTTTTTTTAACCTTACATTGAGGTGCAACCCATACCTAATGATGTGACCTTCTATCTTCATCAGTAAGTATTTTAAGTCTTCTTTGCTTTTTAAAAGCAAGGTTGTATCATCTGCATATTGCAGGTTGTTAGTAAATCTGCCTCCAATCTTGATGCCACGTTTTCCCTCATATAACCCAATTTCTCAGATTATTTGCTCAGCATAAAGATTTAAAAAGTATGGTGAAAGACAAGAACCCTGGAATACACCTTTCCTAATTTAAAAACATTCGATTCCATTTGAACAACTATCTCATGGTATACATACAGATTTCTCATGAGCACAATTAAGCATTTAGGAATATTCATACTTTGCAATGTTATCCATAGATTGTCATGATCCACACAATTGAAAACCTTTGCATAGTCAATAAAGCACAGGTAAACATCTTTCTGGTAATGTTTTCAGCCAAGATCAATCTAAGTCAGCAAAGATATCCCTTGTTTCATGTCCTTTCTGACTCTGACTTGAGCCTCTGGAAGTTTTCTCTCAATGTATGGTTGCAGACATTTCTGTATTATCATTACTAAAACTTTACTCACATGGGATTTCAATAATATTGCCTGATGATTTTTGCATTCCGTTGAGTCATCTTCCTTTGTAATGAGCAAAAATACGGATCTCTTCAAATCAGATGGTCAGGTATTGTCTTCTAAATTTCTTGGCATAGATGAGTGAATGCATTGAGTGCTGCATCTGTTTGTTGAAGTATTTTGTTTTCCATCAACGCCCAGGGTCCTGCTCTTTGTCAATGACTTCAATTCACCTTCCTACCATATCATTGACTCTTGATCATGAGACATTTCTTAAAATGTTTCAATAGCAACTATTTATTTCTAGTAAAGTGACTGTGTGTATTATTTCCATCTTTTTTTGATGCCTTCTGCATCATTCAATATATTGTCCATAGAATCTTTCAATACCACAAATCAAGGTTTAAATTTTTTCTTCACTTCTCTTTGAGAAATGCTGAGTTGTCTTCCCTTTTGTTTTTCTAACTCCAGGATATTGCACATTTCATTATAATATTTGACATTGTCTTCTCAAGCTGACCTTTGAAGTTTTCTGTTCAACTCCTGTACCACCTTACTTCTTCCATTTGTTTTAGCATCTCATCACTAGAGACCAAGTTTCAGAGTTTCTTAGGACATTCACTTTAGGGGTTTTTTTCCTTTTATTTTGTCTTCTTAATGACCTTTTGCTTTCTTCCTATATGTTGTTCTTAATATCATCCCATTTCTCTTCTAGTCTTTGATCTCTGTGTCTAATGTATCAAATCTGTTCTTCAGATGATCTCTAAACTCTTTTGGGATATATTCAAGGTCATATTTTGGCTCTCATGGACTTGCTTTCATTTTCTTTAGCTTAAGTCTGAATTTGCATAAGAGCAAGTTCCTCTGTCTACCTCTGACCTTGTTTTAGCTAATAAAATTGAGCTTTCCCACCATCTCTTTCCATAGATGTAGTCATTTTTATTTCTGTATATTCCATCTCATGAAGTCTATGTGCATTGTCCTCTTTTATACTGTATAACAATGTTATTTGCAATGAAGTATTCATTGGTTGTGCAAAATTGTATCATGCAATCTCCAGCAATGTTTCTATCACCAAGGACGTATTTTACAACCACTGATCCTTCCTCTTTGTTTCCAACCTTTGTATCCCAATCACCAGTAATTATCAATACATCTTGATTGCATGTTTGATCAATTTTAGACTGAAGGACTTGGTACAATTCTTCAATTTCAATCATCACTGGCTTTAGTTGTTGGTGTGTAAGCTTCAATAACAATGATATGAACTTCTTGTTCTTGTAGGCACTTGGATATTCTCCTATCACAGACAGCATTGTACTGCAACGTGATTGTTTGGTGCTGCAGAGCTTCAAGATAATGGACTATAGCCTTTTGGTATCCATCCACAACATTGATCATGCACACGAGAACCCTTAAACAGTGAAACGCAATACTCAGTTGACACTCGCAGACCAGCCCCCCCAAAGGCTCTCTATTCCACAGCCATGGAATACATTCAGGGCGAGGCTCAACGGGGTGGCACGGTGGAAACTGATGACCACATGGGTGGCATCACTGCCCGGAATAGTAAAGGAGAAAGGTTGCTGCTTTATATTGGCATCATTGACATTCTGCAGTCTTATAGGTTTATTAAGAAATTGGAGCATTCTTGGAAAGATCTGGTACATGATGGCGATACCGTATCAGTGCATCGCCCAGGCTTCTATGCTGAACGGTTCCAGCGCTTCATGTGCAACACAGTATTCAAGAAGATCCCCTTGAAGCCCTCTCCTTCCAAAAAGTTTCGGTCTGGTGCATCTTTCTCTCGGCGAGCAGGCTCCAGCGGCAACTCCTACTGCCAGCCTACAGTATCTGGGGAACACAAGGCACAAGTGACCACAAAGGCAGAAGTGGAGCCAGGTGTCCACCTTGGTCGCCCTGATGTTTTACCACAGACTCCACCTCTGGAGGAAATCAATGAAGACTCACTTATTTCTGACCTCAGCTTCACAAAACCCATAGTTGAAGAAGATTTGCAAATGCTAACTACAAGTTCATCCCACCTGGAAAAGCTTGAAATTATAGAACCAGAGTTCTCCCATTGAGCATAAAACCTCAGAAGACATGGAACAAGATTTTACAATCTCTATGATCCCAAGGTGTTAGCCTTTGGCCCAGCAATGCTGAGTTTCCTCCTTCTTGGTCATGGAAAAAGGAGTTTATTGAAGGCTAGAGAACCCTATGTCTCCTTCCTGAAGAAGAACCTCCTCTCCCCTTCCTCGTGAATGGGCATTATTACTAGTGCCTTGGACAGTTGAGGACAGCAGCTTCCCCTCCATTGCAGAGTTGGGTGGCTTGAATTTTCAACTAGCTAAACTTGACTTCTACAATTGCATTTTTTCAAACCCCTTTCTTTGTACTAGAAGTGGGTTGCTGGATTTGATGATTTCCTTCCCCCTCATCTACCTTTCACCAGGAGATGGACTCCTAATTCCCTCAGGACAGACTGACTGGCTTATTATCCCTATCTAAACTCTTTCTTTCCAGTCCCTCCAAGAAGATCCCTATACCTTTTGTAAAGGTTTTTGGTGGTGTGAGGATGTTTAACCACCTCCAAACCTTTAATTTATTTTATATTTAATTTTTTTTTAAAGGAAAAGAAACAAGTAGTGCACCGCACACAGTTTCAAGCCAGACAGTTTCATATCAAAACTCCAGAAGTGTTGGA